TATTATAAATGCATACATATATATTAGGTATATTGCCTTTAAATATTACATTGTAATTTTATTCTTATGACATATCGTGTTCTATATTGGCTGTTCGACGCTTTTTTTAGCGTACTTATTTCAATATATACATTTACATATAATAATTAATTCATTCATTAATTATATAATAATTGCATGTCCATCTTTCTCTCTCTCTCTCTCTCTCTCTCTCTCTCTCTCACTCTCTCTCTCTCTCTCTCTCTCTCTCTCTCTCTTTCTCTTTCTCTCTCTTATGATAAAAGAAAGAAAAAAGAAAAAAAATATAATAATGATTAAATCTTTCATCGTGCGCTGTGTTGTTGAGGGTTGTGTTTATAAAAAATATTTATTTCGATATTTAAATTATTATTATTATTATTATTATTATTATTATGGCGTTTCTATTTATTTTTGGTTTGTTTATTTATGTGATTATTGGTCGAAGTACCATATTTTTTGTTTCCTTGTTTGGCCTTCCATTAAAAAATATATATAGATATAAATTAAAAAAGAAATTAATATTTATATTTATAGAGAATTGTTTTTTTTTTTTTAAGAAGGAAAAAGTAATTTTATATATTTCTCTAAAATATTAATGTTTTGTTTTATTAAAGTAGATCGCGAAAATAATTGTAACGCAAATGATAAGAAACCAAAAAAAATTGTTAATTTATTTTTTGTTTCATTTTTTCTTTTGTTAAATATATACTTAATTGTAATTTAGTTTCGTTCGTTGGTTTAATTTTTTGTTGTGTTCTATATTTTTTTCTTTTTAATATTAATGTATTTCTTCTCTTCCTTTCTTTTTTCTCTAACTCGAATACTCATCAACGCGTTAATGAAATAAATAAATAAATATAATAAATGAATGAAAAATAACGCGTAAAATCGTCACGATAATATTGACTCTAGAAAAAATAAGAAAAATGAAAAGTTGGAATTAAATATTAATTGAACGAGTAAAGGGGGAGGTTGGGGGTGTTACAATTATTGTAACAATCGATATATTAATGACGACGACAATGATGATGATGATGATTATTATTATTATTATTATTATTATTATTATTATTATTATTATTATTATTATTATTACTATTATTTGTTTGTTTGTATTTTCTATTGTTTTTTTTTTACTTT